TCTAGCTGAGGTTTGTGCAATCGTTATTAATTTGAGATGTTTTTTTTAAATTTCTGTAAGCCAAAAGATGGATGATTTTCATTTTCTTTAATGATTTTTTTAAATGATTTTTAATGATTTTGTTTACAAAATCGTGCATCCGAGTTTTTTTATAGCTATTTTTTTTTTTTGTTGGTCTTTGTTTCAGCGCAGGTAGAAATATTTTTTGTGTGACTTTTTATAAGATTAAAGTCGTCATCGGATATAGTGGAATTGTCAAAACTTTCATATTTTGCGTTTTACATTTTTTTATGTAATATGTAATAAAAATATGCGGAATGCATCATTGTTCAAGGCAGCTGTAATAATTAACACTTGCATAGTTAGCAGGGCTCCAAATTATGAAGCGCAACTGATATTTTTATCAAAGTAATTATGTACTAGCATATATAACTTAATAAGGGTTGAAACACAGGCTGCGTCACAAAATGTCTTCATACACATGACATTCAAGTGAAATCTTTCTATTCTTCTGTTTCTTATTAATAAATTAGTGAGTTATTGCTGCATTGTCCTTTCTTCTTTAACTGTTGTCTCCAGTTCTTGCCTCGAACTCCTGACTAGTACTTTGCTCTATGTTGCTCCTCAAATCCTGCATCCATGCCGGTGTTTGGGCACCTATCACCCACCTTAAGTTAATAAGTAAACACACACCCACAATGAATGCATATATAGAATGTGCAGGAACTAATTGTGTATATATTAGCGAATTCAGGCGGGAGGGGGCGAGGGGACTTTCGAATCCCCTAGCGGCTTAGGTAGCAGTTGTTTTACTGTACAAAAGTGTTCGGTAGCCCCTGTCCCCCACCCCGCCTTGTCCAGGAGATCGTTCTGATCCACCTGTGTATGTGTGGCAGTAAGAAAATAGATGATAAGGAATATTAAAATGGCAAATTTAGTTGGCCGTGGTTGAATCGTAGTTTTACCACTTACTCTGTGATTGAAGCGTCCCCAAATTTCGTCCCATGATTGGCTCGAATCAAATATATTTTATGACTTTGGATATACAAAGATGATTAGTGGTTGTAAAATAGGATTTTTACTTTGAACTACGTTGCTCCATTCGATTGTGATGACCCTTAGCCCTATTCTAGCATCATCACATCATCACCACTATTGACCGATTAACTTTAATACATGCCGCTCCGGACCCGTGTGCAATGCAAAGAAGTGACCGCCACAAAGGTCATTTTGGGGGAGGAGGGGAGGGTTTGAACCTCATCGCACGTGATTTTATAGCACCTAGTAATGGTCAGTATTGGCAAGAGCGCGCGGCATAATCAACAATGAGTGCATGAACCCGAATTATTTGGTCATAAAACAATTATTAAATATTTCAACTAAATGTGAACAATGAAGGATTCAGTGGAGGATTCTCTTTGTTGTACCTTGCCCTATTTCATGCAGTTTTAGTACGCTTTGATTGTAGAAAATTTGAAAGAATCCGCTGAAAATGCTGAAATTCGAAGGACTTGAAAGGCATGATGATGAATCCAAGAAAAATGCAATTCCCGCAAAAAAATTTTCTTGCTTTGCCTTGTAATTGGAAGTACAATAGTCTAAGGTTGAAGGCCTGGCACAGTTAGGCTAACATATGAGGACATCGCAGCATCAAATAGGGCGCAGAGATAAAAATTCG